CTTTTTCTGAAGTTCTTGTGGTGTCCAAGGCTTCTCCAAGTGCTTCTCCACTTCTAATGCTTCTCCAAGAGCTTCCCCACTTCTAGAAAGATGTATGAAGGATATGGAGGTGATTTGGGATGAGTTTGAGTGAGTGGTGATGGCTAAGGAAGATGAAATTCGTAGGGAAATGGAAGAGAAGTTTGCTGGAGTTGTTTTGGTGATTGTTGGAGTGTTTGGGATTGTGAGAGTGTTTGAGGATGGTTGGAGTGAATTGTGGGGGTTGTGAATCTCAGGATTTGTTGTAGTACACACCCATTGGAACAACTTTCATGAAGAATGCTGCCTCATCCGAGCTGTGTAGGTTGCTGAAACAGAGCTTGCAATATGACCTACGGAACTGGACTGGCAGGGGGCTGTAGCCAAAATGAGTTTGTCTTTTAAGCTCTTCATCCCTTTATCCAAATCAGGCTTTAACATACATGGATTACATCATTTCATATCCAAAGCCATCATTGTTACCTAAAGCTGAAAGATAAACACAAAAAGGATTAAAAGCACAAGTTTAACTCAAAAACATAACCAAATCATAAGCTAGAAGGGTACAAAATGATATACAATTATGAACCGATCAATGATTCCTCCCACCATATTATGATTTTGCCCAAGTTTTGGGTTCGATCCGAAATCAATAGGTGTAAGAAATTGGACAATTCAAGTTCGTAGGCAGGTCGTTCCTAATTGGAGTGGTTGGTGTTTTGGGTAGTTCTAGAGATTGGATTTCACTAAAACTTAACGTAATGACTCCACCCACCATATTACAATGTTGCCCAAGTTTTGGGCATGATCCGAAATCAATAGGTGTAAGAAATTGGCCAATTCAATTTCAAAGGCAGTTCTTTCCAAATCGGAGTGGTTGGTGTATTCCATAGTTCTAGAGATCTGATTTCACTGAAAACTAACCAAATGACTCCTCCCACCATATTACGATGTTGCCCAAGTTTTGGGCTCGATCCGAAATCAATAGGTCTAAGAAATTGGACAATTTATGTTTAAAGGAAGTTCGTTCCTAATCGGAGTGGTTGGTGTATTCCATAGTTCTAGAGATCGGATTTCACTCAAAACTAACCAAATGACACCTCCCACCATATTCTGATGTTGCCCAAGTTTTGGGCTCGAACCGAAATCAATAGGTGTAAGAAATTGGACAATTCAAGTTCAAAGGCAGTACGTTCCTAACTAGAGTGGTTGGTGTTTTGGGTAGTTCTAGGGGTCGGATCTCACTCAAAACTAACCAAAAGACTCCTCCCACCATATTATAATGTTGCCCAAGTTTTGGGCTCGATCCGAAATCAATAGGTGTAAGAAATTGGCCAATTCAAGTTCAAAGGCAGTGCGTTCCTAACTAGAGTGGTTGGTGTTTTGGGTAGTTCTAGAGATCGGATTTCACTCAAAACTAACCAAAAGACTCCTCCCACCATATTATGATGTTCCCCAAGTGTTGGGCTCGATCCGAAATCAATAGGTGTAAGAAATTGGCCAATTCAAGTTCAAAGGCAGTGCGTTCCTAACTAGAGTGGTTGGTGTTTTGGGTAGTTCTAGAGATCGGATTTCACTCAAAACTAACCAAAAGACTCCTCCCACCATATTATGATGTTCCCCAAGTGTTGGGCTCGATCCGAAATCAATAGGTGTAAGAAATTGGCCAATTCAAGTTCAAAGGCAGTGCGTTCCTAACTAGAGTGGTTGGTGTTTTGGGTAGTTCTAGAGATCGGATTTCACTCAAAACTAACCAAAAGACTCCTCCCACCATATTATGATGTTCCCCAAGTGTTGGGCTCGATCCGAAATCAATAGGTGTAAGAAAATGGACAATTCAAGTTCAAAGGCAGTTCGTTCCAAAACGGAGTGGTTGGTGTATTCCACAGCTCTAGAGATCGGATTTCACTCAAAACAAACCAAATGACTCCTCCCACCATATTATGATGTTGCCCAAGTTAGGGGCTTGATCTGAAATCAGTAGGAGTAAGAAATTGGACAATTCAAGTTCAAAGGCCGTACGTTCCTAATTGGAGTGGTTGGTGTTTTGGGTCGTTCTAGAGATCGGATTTCACCCAAACTCAACCATATGACTCCTCCCACCATATTATGATGTTCCCCAAGTTTTGGGCTCGATCCGAAATCAATAGGTGTAAGAAATTGGACAATATATGTTGAAAGGCAGTTCGTTCCTAATCGGAGTGGTTGGTGTATTCCATAGTTCTAGAGATCGGATTTCACTCAAAACTAACCAAATGACTCCTCCCACCATATTATGATGTTGCCCAAGTTTTGGGCTCGATGCGAAATCGTTAGGTGTAAGAAATTAGACAATTCAAGTTTAAAGGAAGTGCGTTCCTAGTTGGAGTGGTTGGTGTTTTGGGTAGTTCTAGAGATCGGATTTCACTCAAACTTAACCACATGACTCCTCCCACCATATTATGATATTGCCCAAGTTTTGGGCTCGATCCGAAATCGATAGGTTTAAGAAATTGGACAATTCAA